ATGGGCTTTCTCAGTTCTCCTGCTCTGTTTTCAGTGATGGATAAGTGCTGTGTGCCTGGGCCTAGGCGCTAAGATTTTCTTAGCCTTTCTGCACTTTCATGGCAATGCACTTTGCTTTGTGTTGGTGGGGAAGTCTGGTAGGAGCAAGTTTCTCACCTCACCTCCAACAGTTGAAGACCTTTTCTTTATATCAGCGTAGGATCCTAGACCTGAGTAGGTTTTCTTCCCCATTTTCAGCAGTATATAGCCTTTATTTCTATATCTTCCTTAGCGGTAAAGAACATGCTCCTGCAATGTGGGAGGTTGGAAGGTTTCCTATTTCTCTTCCAAAGGCATCAGGTCTTTGGAACCATGAGGTGGAATGTTTCCTTTTCTTCTGCTGGAAGCTAATGTTTTTGCTTTTTATGAGACAAAGGTCTTTGAAGTAGATGAGTTTTGAAGTAGATGCCCATGGAAATAGCTGGTGAGAAAGTTCAGATGCCTTATGTGTATGGGGTTCCTAGAGATTCTTAAGTGTTAAGCTAGTCCACACTCAGACTTTATGAATTCTTTGAAATTTCAGCTGTTTTCTTTTTACCTGCTTTTTGGACAGCTACCTCATCCTCCCACACTCTGTCAGCTCATCTGTCTTTGGAGGGGATCTTTACCTTTTGGAATTAAGCTTACCTGGTTATCATATGACCTCAGCTCTCTAATAGTGGTATATCAATCTATTGCAGTCATCACTCTTTTGGTGCCTAATTGTAACCCTTGAAATAAAATCACTTTAACTCCATATTGGTTCCTATGCCTTTGGGGATAACCCAGTAATTTTGAAATGTTTCCTTTCTTTCTGACATAATAAGATGTCCCAGCCTCATTTTGTATCTTTCCTCCTCCAGACCTGGAGCTAGATATTTCTTCCTTTAATATATCTAGTTCCATTTGGTAAGAAATAATACCTAGAAATCACAATCTGAGAACTAAGGGTGCTCTTTGATATTGATTTATCATTGCTTCTAGGCCTTTACAGTGTAGAGAGCTAGAAAATATGTGCTTTTCTTTAACAGGAAACAATCCCATAGTTCATACTGGTATCTCTAGTTCAAGGCTAAGATTACTTAACATGTTTGATTTTATTCTTGTATTATATTATAATCAAAATCTTGGTTCCTAATGACACTAACAAGATATTTATTTGTTTTATCGTACAGTATATGGAATACTTTCAAAATAATGATGCCATTATTATTACTAACAATAAGATTCCTGAATGCAATTTAAGATTACTTTGCAATTCTTTTTGTCATTAGGATATATACTAGTGAAGTACTAAGGCCCAACTCAAAATCTACTTCCTCTGTGAGGCCTTTATGCTGACCCACACTGCCCCATGCCGTTTTTCCCCTCTGAACTTTTATCATTCCAGTCTTAAATCTCACATTCTGCACCTGATTCAGATGGCCTTGAATTGCCTTTTACTTGTTTAGATACTTAAAATATGAAAGTTGAGAATAATTCAATTAGGTCAATCCTCCTGAGAGGTCAATGGAGTTAATTTAATTTATTATCCCCACAGTAAACTCTGAAGGGTAGGTGCATGTCTTCTTTTATATATCAGAAGGAAGCAGTTTCCCTTACTACATAATCAAAGTTTAATTAAATTCTTTTGGGAACTTGTTTCAGAATGACACAGACTGAACAGTTAGACCATCTTCCAGGATCACGAAACCAGACAGGTCTCCAATATCCAATGCCAAATGACAGGTGGGATTTGGGTCCAACAAAAGCTGGGCAAGATATTTGAGGATCTGTGCCAGTCCACTGACCCTGGATAAATGAGCATGGATGGATCTCATATTCAGAAACCTATAAATTGGAAGTCTATTTTCCCCTTGACATTTAGTAACCTATTCCTTTAAAAATGTTTACTCATCTCATATAAGGGCGGGAGTGTTTGCCAAAGAGAAACAAGGGCAGGAGTATTTCTTTGTCCATGTATGGAACACCATACTTCAGGGACTTAGACAAGATGGGAGTGATAGAAATCAGAGCAAGAGAGCCCCAGGGGTGCCTGGGTGGCTCAGTCAGTTGAGCGTCTGACTCGATTTCAGCTCAGGTCATGATCTCCAAACTCACATGGAGCCTGTTTGGGATTCTCTCTCTCTCTCTCTCTCTCTCTCTCTCTCTCTCTCTCTTTCTCTCTCTCTCAAAATAAATAAATAAACTTGAAAAGAAAAGAAAAGAAAAGGAAAGGAAAGGAAAGGAAAGGAAAGGAAAAGAAAAGAAAAAGAGAACCCCAGGAAGCAGCCACATCCAGGCAGGCACAGTGAGAGATGTGACGTGGTCACCTCTTCCATGCTTTCAGAGCTTGGTCAGCTTGTGTTTTATGTGGGTGAGTGGCTATTCTCTCCCATGCTCCCCACTGAACCAGAGTGAAGAACAAAGGGACTATAAGATCCAAGCTCTGACGGACTCTTACTGCTTATGTAGCATCAGAATAATCCCTAGAGCCCAGCACGGTACAGCAGCTGCCTCCCTTGCCAACTTCATCCCCCACTCACTTGGCCCACTCCCTGTGCTCACTGGCCAGTTTATTCTTGCCTCCAAGCTGACCACTGTACTGGCTGTTTGCTCTGCCCGGGTGCTCTTCCCACACACTTCATGCTGGCAGGCCCTTTCTCATTGTTCCCATCTCAGGCTCATATACCGCCTCTCAGACAGGCCCTCCCATCAAAATGACCTCTTTCCACCCAGTCTGCCACATGACTTTATCAAACCTTTCAGAGATTTTATTACTTTCTGACATTATCTTGCATATCTGTTGGTTTTCTTACCATTGTCTGTCTTCCTCCCTCTGGGGTATCAGCTTCACAAGGCCAGCAACCTGGTATGTTTTGCTGGCTCCTATGTTACTCACACTAGGCCTGGCACTTGGTAGGCACTCAATAAATATTTATTTTTAAGTTTATTTATTTATTTTGAGAGAGAGAGAAAGCAAGTGGGGGAGAGGCAGAGACAGACAGACAGATAGACAGAGAGTCCCAAGCAGGCTCCACACTGTCAATGCAGGCCTGACACAGGGCTCAAACTCATGAAATATGAGATCATGACCTGAGCCAAAGTCAATGCTTAACTGACTGAGCCACCCAGGCACCCCCAAGAAATATTTGTTGAGTGAATTGAATGAAGGATCATGAAATGAAAGAGAAAAATAGTTATATATACATGTATGAATGAGTATGTGTGTGCATGCATTTATTTTTGTTTTGATTTATTTCATGAAAGGGTATGAGTGGCTTACAAGAAGCACCCAGCCTTGAATCTAGGAATCAATTAATTTTTAATTTTATTGATACTTATGCCATTTTCATTGTGATCTGCTTATTCAATTGCAAAAAGAGCATAGATTTCATTTTCTGGTCCTTGACTATATAAAATGGCTGCTGCTTTTCTTCCTGTCAGACTGTTATTATTGCTACAATTGGTAGTTATTTATCAAATCAGCCACTGATTGAAACAGTATAAAAACCTAGGAGCAATGAAAAACAAATGGTATACTTTATCAACAAAAAGATCAATGAGTTTCCTTCAAATGTGAGAGTATTTGTCACCATTTTGTTGTTGTTCACCTACCAGGCTTATTTCCATAACATGTGAAATTTTAGTTGGTAAATTTGCATCTCTGTCATTATTCATGACCAGTGAAGACATGGAAAAAAAGAGGTTAGTTTAAAATTTTAAATAACATAATTGTCAGGCAGATTGCTGGATCCCTGTGAGAATTCCTTTTGCCATTCATGCAATATAAAAGATGTATATAATTGGTTTGCTCCTTGTATATAATTGTGTTTGGAAGGATAGCAGTCCAACATTATAGAAGGAACTAAAAGGGTGATACTGGGGTGCCTGGATGGCATCCGACTCTTGATTTTGGCTCAGGTCGTGATCCCAGGGTCACAGGATCGAGCCCCACATCAGGCTCTGTGCTGAGCGTAGCGCCTGCTTGGAATTCGCTCTCTCTCTCCCTCTGCCCCTCTCTTCTACTCTCTCTCTCTCAATGAAATGAAATGAAATGAAATGAAATGAAATGAAATGAAATGAAATGAAATGAAATAAAGTATGAGACTATTATTTGAGGTAGGGTCCAGGAAAACCCACTAATGGTGGTTTTCAGTAAGTTGCTTATATTTTTGCTTACTTTTTGCTGCCTGTTTTCTTATCTGTAAATTTAGAGGGTTAGACCTCTAACCCTAAGCATCAACTTTTAGCTCTAAAATTCATTGACAGGTCTGCCTTCTTTCCTCCATATCCTTTGGTCATTTCAGAGGACACAGCAGACATACCCAAACTAACTTAAATTTCTTAAAATGATCTGTTATGGATTTGGGGAGAGTAGAGAAGTTTCCAGCAGAAGAGCTAATGGGCAACACTGCTGACTGCTGGGAATCTTCAAGTTCATGTCACAGACTCAGCCATCTAAGCCCTCAAGTCTGACCTGCGACTCATGATCAATTTGTTGGAGACCTTGTTTAGAAGATAAATATCACAAGATATGGATTTTCCTTTTGATACTAAAAAGAATCTTCTTATTAAATTGACCATTTAGCAGCTGTATCTGGACATTCAAGCTACATGTGGGATAGTTATTTTTACTTAAATCATTTGCAATGCAGTTTATCTCAAAGTATGGTCTGTGAACTTCAAGCATCAGAACCTCCCCCTGCAGGCTTATGTGGATGGCTCAGCTGGTTGAGCTTCCCACTTCGGCTCAGGTCATGATCTCTTGGTTTGTGGGTTCTGCCCTGTGTCGGGTTCTGCACTGACAGCTCAGACAGAGCCTGGAGCCTGCTTCGGGTTCTGTGTCTCCCTGTCTCTCTGCCCCTCCCCCACTTGTGCACGCTCTCTCTCTCTGTCTCTGTCTCTCTTTCTCAAAAATAAATAAATAAACATAAAAAAAAAGAATCTCCCCCTGTTGACTGTAGTGTGGCTAAAATGCAAATTCCTCTGCCTCACTTTAGACCTGCTGAATCAGAATCTGGTGGAAGGAGAGGGTGCCCAGAGATGTGCAAGTTTCACAAATTCTCCAGGTGATTCTTATTCACACTCAGGTCTGTCATGTTGTTAAGTTGGAAATAATCCCTCTCTAACTATCCTGCTGAAGAGTACAGAAGCAAGATAGACCTAAGCAACCTAGTAGGGCAAATCCTACATCATTATACTGAAAGGAAATGAGCTTGACCTCTGTAACAGGTAGATTAGCCTTGTAATGTATAATCCTTACATAACTTCATTTGAATATTTTTCTCCTTGATTTCTATTCTTGAATTTACTTTTGAGTGATTGTGAAAACACAAAGGATTTGTGGTATTTCTGATTATTTAAGGCTGCTATTTAATTAATGGCAATATATAAAGGAATTTTATTCCCTTCTTAATGTTCCAAAAGTACCTACTAGGTTAATTTAATGCAATGTCAAGGGGCAATATTGTATATAATATTTTCTTTATAAGCCACTACCTACCCCCAACCAAAAAACATAGAAAAAGAAACCCTTCACACTATAAATGTTTTTACATTAATTCATTCATATGATGATCATTATTCATGTATCTCTCTATTAATTATCATCATATATTTTCTAATTGTGGTAAATATGCTTAACATAAAACTTACCATCTTAACCATTTTTAAGTGTACAGTTGTTGTAAATATATTCACATTGTTGTATAACCAATCTCCAGAACGTTTTCATGTTATAAAACTAAGATTCTATACCCATTAAACAATTCTCCATTTCTTCCTCCCCATAGCTCCTGTGTTTCTGTTTCTCTGAATTTGACTTCTCTATATACCTCATGTAAGTGGATTTATACAGTGTTTGTCTTTTTGCAACTGCCTTATTTCACTTAAGATAATGTCCTCAAGGTTTATCCATGTTGTAGCATGTGTCAAAATTTCCTTTTTTAATAAAGGAAATGAATAATAGTTTATTGTATGGATATACCACACTTTGTTTATCTGTTCACCAATCATTGGATACTTTGACTGCTTCTACCTTTTGGCTCTTGTGAGTAATGCTGCCATGACTATGTGTGTACAGCTATCTCTACAAGACCCTGCTTTCAAATTCTTTGGATGTACATCAAGAAGCAGAATTGCTGGATTATATGGTTATTATATTTTAAATTTTCTGCAGAACCACCATACTGTTTTCCACAGTGGCTGCACCATTTTACCTTCCTACCAGCATTACTCAAGGGTTCCAATTTCTCCACATCCTCACCAACACGTGTTATTTTCAAAGACGATCAATATCATCAATAAGAGTTCTGGAACAAGGTAGAATTTTTGTAATTTTCCTTAGTTGTTTATTACAAATTCATTTCTGATTAAAGAAAAATACTTTGTATCATAGCTTTATTTATTTGAATAAATACATAGTTACATATGTTTTATCAATCACACATAGTCTATAGTAAGACTCTTTTTTTTTTTAGAGAGAGAGAGAGCAAGTGCAGGGGAGGGGCAGAGGGAGAGAGGAAGAATCTCAAGCAGACTCCAAGCTAAGCGGAGAGCCAGACATTGGGCTTGATCCCATGACTCTGGAATCATGTCCTTAGCTGAAATCAAGAGTCAGACTCTCAACCTACTCAGCCATCCAGGTGCCCCTGACTTTTATTGAACTAAGAATAAAGTCAGGTATTTACATGGTGATTTATATAGTGATCTGCAGTTTACAATGGGTTTTCGTATCTTTTCTTATAAAAGATTTCATTAAAATTCAGTAAAGGCACTATGTAATTTTGTTAATAAAGTCTGGATATTAATATTATCCATATCTAAGCAGTAATAATTATTTGCAAATTTTTCTTTCAAAGTTATCTCACAATTTCTTTTCTTCCATTTTTCCTATGACCATCTCAGTGGTAATGAAAATAGCATGGACATTGGACCCAGAGACATTGGCCCACTTGGCTTCTTGGGATTGACCCATCCTAGTTATTCAAGTCATCTTGCCAAGTGAGCCTCAGTTTCCTTACCTATAAAATGAGAATAATGATATCCACTTCATAGCATTGCTGTGAAGGTTAAGGGAGATAATATATGCCCAGTGCCTGGCACAAGTTAGGTATACAAAACATGTCCATCCCCTCCTTACATGAATTTAGTTCACTTAAAAAAAATAGGTCATTGTGTTTTTCAGAATGCAATGAGATCAATTCAAACAGCAAGTCTTGTCTTCCAAAGCAAACTGAAGTTCTTCCAAGGCAAAGATTCCATCTCATTCATCTTTCCTATAGTCTCTCACACATGTTAAATAAGTATTCCCCAATTGGTAATCATTTTCACCAGGCATATATATTTATAAAGCACTTTTCAGTAATTTCTATGGATTATCATTCACTCTATGCCTCAAAAGAAGAAATGCCTTTTTCTACAATGTCACCAGTGGTCACCAGTGAAGGTAGATGACTAATTATGGCCTTCATATGATGTCACTATGCTATGTTTTTCTGGATGGGGCTAGGCAGAGAATCAGAAACAAAACTCTTTTGACTTGACATTATCTGGCTTTTACACTGACTCCATTTTTTTATAAACTCTGGAGGAATGCGGCTTACGATTAAATTATAGTTTTCTCAGAGCCTGCTATTAGAAGTCTAATATATACTGTATTTAATTTTTAGTTTGCATATATGTAATTGAAACAGTCATTCTCAAATGAATATTTACATGTTCCCTCATAGTCTAGACAGTTGTTAATTTTTAGATTGAGGATATCTGTGCTACTTCATACAAAAGGAACATCTCCCATTCATTGAGTGGCTAATACAAGGACACTACGTTAGAGGTTTCACATATGTTTTCTCATTTGGTCTTTAACAATGGCCCTATAAGTTAATTATTATACTCATTTTACAAATTAAAAACAAACAAACAAACAAACAAACAAACAAACAAACGGGGCTCCATGAAGTTAAGGATTTGGCCCAGGGTCTCTTACATAGAAAATTGCAGAATTGAAAGTAAGATCTATCGATCTGATTCTAAAACTCCTCCTCTTATAATGATACCAGTATTTTCCAATGAAGAGACAAAAGATAATAATACAGAAGCAAATAAGCTGGAATGATGTACATAAACATAAAAAAGAAAAAGGGCCATCATAGACACAGGTAGTGTGAAACATCACTGAACAAATTCAGTTATACAGTTCAGAAAAATACAATGTTTTTTTGTGAAAGAGAATTATTATAAAATTTTCTTTTTAGTGAAACCTGTATTTTGTCAGAAAAATATTTTTTAATAATTTGAAATTGTTGAAGAAGGCCAAGATATTTTAACTAATAGCTACATTAGACAAGCCAAACTGTTGTATAATGACATATACTCACACATGGAGAGGTTCTATTTTTTCCCTCCACAAACATTTCCTTCAGAGACATTCGGAACACTTAGCTTCTGGGGGCTGGCTCTTCAAACTGGCTTGAAGATTCCTACTTATTTCAAGTATTTACTTTCCTAGGGGAAAATAGAAGCTCAGTGCTGATCAGATGTTTACCAATAAATTGTCTTGTTCTGGGTTCCATAAATTAAAAGGAATGTGTAAAAATGTCTCATGCATTAAGGGATGAGAATCGTGTATGGGTGGTAAATAAGACTTATGCCTATTGGTTATTAGGTAAATGGGAATTAATTTAGATCATCCTTTCTCGTGAGCAAAAACTATTCTGACCCACAAGTTCTAGCTCAAGTGTCATTATCCCCAAAGGTAATAATCATTCATTTTGCCATTCGGAAGAATTTCTTAAAGTTACCAAAGATAGATTATCTATCTGCCTTTGATATGTTTGGTTTTAATTGGTGGCATGGCCCATTTCTTGTGACCATATGATTCTCAGCTCTATATGAATTTTAGAGTACTGTAAACATAGTTTAGATTCTCATTTTATTTGACTCCTGGAGAACCATGTGCAAGTCTATTGCTACGGTAGAATTAATACAAAATCCATGTTTCTGATTTGACTCTCCTTGTCTCCTGCTGAATTTAATTGATACAGATATGCCTTTAATTTTAGTGACTTAGTTTCTCTTACAAACTGGGGGCATGGCAGGAACAGTGGACAATTCATGGCATCTTCACTTGTTCTGGGTGAGACCATGTCTTTTTCCAAAGGGGTCTCTGAATCATTCTTACAAAAATCATATGCTTTGTCCATGTGGTCAGTTCATAGGAGCTCACAGACAAGACAGAGTTCCTAGTGACATTCCACAATGTAGAAATTCTACGAGGAGGATGAGCTCATGGGAATAAAAAACTTCAGTTTCAGAATTATTGAAGCAATTTAAGTAGAATAAAAAATTTTTTTAATTTGCCTTGGAATTTTATTTGGTCTTGTCTTTTTTTTTTTGTCAAGAGTAAATACCCTTTTTCATCTGCCATTTTCCATATTCTATACATATTTAGGATTTATCCTGTGTTAACTGAAGCCTTAAAAAGTCTCAGAGTTTTTTCTTACTTTGTGAGATCCACAAAAGTTTCCAAACAGTATAAACTGAGAGCATTCAAGAAAGTTTTGAAAGTCACATAACCAGAGCCTTGCATATAGAATCCGTATAGAGTTAGTCTGCCGAACTGTTCGCTATGAGGTTGACCTCTGTCCTCTAGAGTAGGCAGTTGCAATGGAAGCATTTGTATTGTATGTAACAAAGGGAAAACTCTAGAGGAAAAGTCACTTAAATAAGAGACTGCATTCCAGGCATATCCAACCTAGAATATTCTCTTTACTTCTTTTAAAATCTTAGAGGATTGTAATTGACTCTACCATGCTACAGAAAGTATTTAAGAGGCTCTAAATTCTGATACATGGGCATTGGGCAATATTAATAATATTATTATATATAATATGATATATAATAATATATCATATTATATATAATAATATATAATATGATCTATAATATTAATATTATAATAATTATATTAATAATTATTTTGAGAAACACAAATTTTAAAACCAAAGGAAATAACCCTGATGGACCTTGAGGGAGACAGAAATTCTGGATAATTGAAGGGAATGAAGTCTAATTTATGAAAGTTTCTTATACACAGCACTATCCCTGGCATATATGGACCCATCTAGAACATGGAAGTGTACAATAGAAGTCAGAGGCATAGAACCTGACTCAGGAGAAAAAGAAGAAGATCTGAATTTGGACGAGAACAAAAGCACAGAGCACTATGTCCTACTGAGGAAAAATCAATAATTAACATGAGACCCATACTCTATGCTGTTTAAAAATTGTCATTTAACTACTTATCTTATATGTGAGTTGTTTATGGTCTGTCCCATTTAGAGTTGATATTTTCTTAATTAATCATTTTATAAATAGTTCTCATGCAGAATCCCTTAAGATACTGGTAAGTTGGGATATCAGGACTAGAAGGACCCAAATGACTTTTCCACCTGCCATCTAGATTCCCGGATTGGGTAGACCAATCATACACAGCATATCCATGTTGATTGATTAGACCCTTGGATTGAGGAGCACATTAACCCTTTAAAATGACTTTTGATCCTCAAATACATTTCCTTTGTGAATTAAACAACTAAACATCCCTCTTCTAGATTAGTGGAGTAGAATGCATTTTAGTCCCCCAGATTTATTTCTAGTGGAAGCCAGCACTGAATTCAGGAGAACTGCTTTAGATCTGTTATGTGCCTGTCCTACAGAGGAGGTCATTAAGGAGCACCTAGTCAAGCAGCAAGTATGGAGTGAGTATCAGGCCAGACTCACAGCTCAGTAGATGAAGATAGGAAGCTGACCCACTGGCTCAGGTTACT